TGCAGGCAGGTGAGATATTTACTGTTAAATATTGTCTCCCCCACCCCTTTAAAAATATGCCATTGTGTTGTGATAAGTCATTGTGTGTTGCCTGCTATGGTTTGACTGTTTGTGATTTTATTGAGGTTTCACAACAATGTTATTGTGGTGACCCTATGGGCTGGTCCCAAGGGAAATAAAGGTTTAGGCAGTTCGTCTTGATCCCTCTAAACGTAGCCCTGTCTCGTTATTTGAGGGAGCTGTTATAATCACACTGGGGGATTGCTATGTTCTGCATACTCCCCTGAGCTTGAATCACTTAGCTCTTTTAAGAGCTTGTTCCTGACACGCTCTCCTTGGAGGAGAGGTCTTCACCACACAGTCCTGGATGCTGGAGCTTCATACAGGGTGGAAGGAAAAGGTCTTTCCCACACGGTCCTGGAGGACAGAAGCTGATCCAGGGTGGAAGGAACACGGCGAGACTCCAGTCAAGCTACAGCGGTTGCGATGGTTGTGGTGTCTGCTGCAGTGCTTGGAGTCCTCAGGAAGTGCTAGGAGCATCCTTCAACGGAGGTACCCAGTCGGGGTGCCAGGTGATCCGTTACAATAGACTTTTAGCATGGCCCATACAATGGGCAGGAGGCTAGCCTCCACACTCCTCCAGGAGCCCGTGGCAAACGTCCAGGCAAAGGGGCACTCGTCACAGTGTATTCAAATATTTGTAAAAATATAGCCACAATCGTACGATTTTGTGCCAAGCAAAATAGAGAGGAATCAAGTTTAAAATGGAGAGTGTGCTCAGTTTTTAAAAGGAAACAGAAAACCAGAATACAAGCCACTGACTCCTCTAGGAATTGTAATTTAAAGGGATATTAACCCCTTAAGGACACATATTATGTGTGACATGTCATGATTCCCTTTTATTCCAGAAGTTTGGTCCTTAAGGGGTTAAACAGCCTGCAGACTGGCTTTTCTGTGAAATGGCACTCTAAACTCAGACAGTCCTTCCTGGTGCGGTCCTCAAACTCTCCATGACAACGTTCAGCGTTTTCACACTCTGCATTAAGATGCTGAGCACCACAGAGACGTTTACGTACTAATCTCCCTATGGAAAAGCATTGGATTGGCTAAATACATCAGCAAGGGGAAGAGTGACCGCTGTGGTGAGACAGAAAACACCAACATCAGGGATACATGTTTGTAATGTTAACATCAGTGTGTTACTTTACAGTTTAAACGCATTTTATATAGTTTCAGAGCAGGAATAATGTAAGCTTTGTGGCCAAAAGCTACATAGATATCAAGTGGACAAGGTCTGTGTCACAGAACCATCATAAAAGCCTAAAGTGCTTCTGCAGGGTCTAGAAGCAGGGAATAGGAAATTCCAAATTTAACACATTGTGCAATAGAGTAAGTGTACACATTAGATGTCTCTTTACAGGAAGCGTTTAGGAAGGCTGTGTAAGTTACATGCGGGGAGGTGTGACAACAGCTGTATAAACAAAGTGATTTAACCCCTAAATGGGAGAGAAGTGAGCAGTGAGACTGCAGGGGCATGTTCTATACACCAAGACTGCTTCAATAAGATAAAAATGTTTTGGTGACTACAGTGTCTCTTTAAATGTAGATGTAAAGCAATGTAAATCCATGCGTCTCAGTTGTTTAAACCAAGTGGTGGTGCTTAAGGCATCAGAAAAATGTAGCTTCCAGACAACGGCAGAGTAGGAGCACGGGGGAGGACCCCGGACAACGGCAGAGTAGGAGCGCGGGGGAGGACCCCGGACAACGGCAGAGTAGGAGCACGGGGGAGGCCATGGCGACCAGGAATTTAGTCCAAGTGCCAAGGATTTGTGAGTCTGTTCCCTCCGAGGTGGACGGCTGACCAGCTGTGCGTTCTGTAGGCCGACGGCGAGGGAGCTGTGATCTCCCTGCGTAATCCTTATATTGAGGGAGTAAAGGTAAGCATTACTTCTCATTTAAATACTTTTATACACGTATAAAATGCATGCTTGGCGGTGAACGGGTTAAATTGCTCCAGAAATGAATCATCGCATGACTGAGATCTACTACGGCTGGTTTTAGCGCAAGACTTAGTCAAACACAAAATGGATTTAAAAAATGCCAGAATACTTTGTGCATTGTTTTAACACATTTTTAGAGAGTGGAAATGTACCACGCAACCAAATGACATATTCCAATAAATACACAATTTGTCATCGTTATCCAAAATGTCTGCTGCTCGAGCTTGGCAGTTTGACTGGTGTAACATTGCACCGAAAAGACAGCCAGCTGTGATTTACTTACAAAAAACACTAAATAAACAGAAATCGATCTGTGAAAACGCGGAAATTCACTTCTTGAAACAAACATTTTTTGCAAACTAACGTGGCATCCCCAATTCTAGTAGTAATTCCAGTATTCTCGGGCTAACATAATGGCCGTTCAAGTTGCTGCTTTTGTTAATGTTTGAAGGAATTGTAAAATCACTGGGCAATGCTTCAAGCAGATAGCTCTTGGAAAAACAATACACTTCATTTAGCATCGGGAAGCATGCAAGACGTGTTAAGTGGGTTTAAGTGTGGATCTGGCATAATCTGAACGAGTTTGTGTTTACACTGGCAGCCTGGAGCTGTCTTCAATCAGGTAACGTACACACTGTATTCAAAACTGGAGACTGTCGGGAGGCAAACCTCGCCATTCCATCTCAGCGAGAGTCTGAGAGACGCTCCAAAACAGTGCGTCCCGTGGGTACTGCAAATCCTGCACTAACGTTGCATCAAGCTGAGTGTGTATCTAACCAACAGACGCCATGACTCCCGTTACTATTAGAAAATGTAAGCTGTAATGAAATACCCATCTCTGCCTTTCAAGGCAATACGGATGGCAATACGAGTACACATTTGCAGTTTTCATTTTATGAAATTCGGGTAATTTTCTGTTTTAGAAATAAAGCTGTAGAAACACCCCTAATCTAGCATTATAATGCATCTTGTTCTGAGTTATACCATGTTTTTTTTCCCTGTGATGGATTGGTTAAAGGAACACTATAGAGTCCGGAATACAAATAATAACCATTGGGAGGTTATTGCACACGCGTGGACCCAATCAGCATCTCCCACTAAATCAATGCATCTCTATAAGGAGCATCCAGCACCTCCATGCAGACCGTGAAGACACTGAATGTAGGTGCTCCACACTGTGCAACACTGACACAGGAAGCACCTTTAGTGGCCATCTGAGTGAGTGCAATTAAAGGTGTTACTAGGCTTTAATATAAACTCTGAAAAGAAAGCAGTGGAGGAGCTAGCAGCATTCCCTTCGGATGCCTGTAAGTATCCCCAAAGTTCCCAAACTGTTTTGTAACCCCTGTTCATGGACCAAACAGAACATGTGTGGTAACCCTTTTATTAGCCCTCAGAACACCAAACACCCCCGGCTGTTAACCGTGATTCACTCAAGTGCTTTCCCTGGGTGGTCGTCATTTGCATAACCGAACGCACGTGTTCTAAGGAATGGTGGCCATTTTGTCTCCCGAACACAGGCACTGGTAATTGGTCGTCGAGTGCATGCAACTCTTTTCAGCTGCATGCTCGCATGAACCCCGGCAAAGATATTTTATATAAGTTCCTAAAAAAGAGATAATGGAGTTTTTCTACTTTGGACTCGATTATCTCTCCGATGCCGGGGAAGGACTTGTACTTTTTCCTATGGAGACCCCATGCTTCGAGTCTGTGCATGGCATAATAAATCTCAGTTGACTCCCAGAACTGTGTGATGCCCAGTTACTGGGGGAATGGGCTATAATCACTGAATAGCGCTTTCTTCCAGCTCCAGGACTTTTAGCTGAGATATTTGGTCTCAGGATTGCAGTTCCACTACCGAAATGTGGATTTAACAGCCTGCACAGACAGGATATAGACACAAGAACCACTGCATTAAGCTGAAAAACGTACATTATGCTGTATACCATACAATAAGCTGTAGTTGAACTGGTGGCTATATTGTCCCTTTAATAAAGATCGGGATGAATGAAGGATTTGGCACATTAAACTGGCGTGTAATGTTCCACCAGGAGTATAAACGGATTTGCTGACCAGATCTGGTATTAAATAATACGAGTAAAGGCCATCCAGTCTGTTCCATCTCCCCGCATTCATAGTTCACGGCAGGAACAGGACAGAACCCTCTACAGAAAATTACACACATAATATATATATATACATACACACACACAACTAATTAAATTGGTCCATTTATTAGCCCGGAGTATGATAGTTCGACCCAACAGTCCAATTCACTGAGAAACCACTACTAGGGTAAAATGTGAGGTCACATTGTAATATCTTAAATGCACTGCCACTAATAGCTACACAACGTTAAAATGATTTCAACGGTCAGTCATTCTGTTACAGCCAACATTAGAATGACTAGCATGCAAAAAGGAGAGAATTTCAAACCATTTCTATTCCTTCACACTGTGTGTTCATATATTCCTCCTCAATCCGCACCGATATTTTTATTTAACTCCAAAAATATCAAGAAAAACGCATGTCAAAAACATTTATCAATTTAATGCAAATCAATTTATAACTTTTTTGACATGCGTTTTTCTGGATTATTATTTTTTTTTGTTATTCTGTCTCTCACTGTTAAAATACACCTACCATTACAATTATAGACTGATCATTTATTTGTTAGTGGATAAACGTTCAAAATTAGCAGGGGATCAAATACTTTTTTTACCTCACTGTAGCTGGGAACGCGCTCCACACGGATGGTAGTTTAAGATGCTCCTTATGGTGTCCGGTGCCACACGGTTACAGCTAGGATATGGAAGCATATATAACTCCACATGGATGGTAGTTGAAGATGCTCCTTATGGTGTCCGGTGCCACACGGTTACAGCTAAGATATGGAAGTGGATGCCCTCCACACAGATGTTAGTTTAAGTTGCTCCTTATGGTGTCCGGTGCCACACGGTTACAGCTAGGATATGGAAGTGGATGCCCTCCACACAGATGTTAGTTTAAGTTGCTCCTTATGGTGTCCGGTGCCACACGGTTGCAGCTAGGATATGGAAGTGGATGCGCTCCACATGGATGGTAGTTTAAGATGCTCCTTATGGTGTCCGGTGCCACACGGTTGCAGCTAGGATATGGAAGTGGATGCGCTCCACATGGATGGTAGTTTAAGATGCTCCTTATGGTGTCCGGTGCCACACGGTTACAGCTAGGATATGGAAGTGGATGCGCTCCACATGGATGGTAGTTTAAGATGCTCCTTATGGTGTCAGGTGCCACACGGTTGCAGCTAGGATATGGAAGTGGATGCGCTCCACACGGATGGTAGTTTAAGATGCTCCTTATGGTGTCCGGTGCCACACGGTTACAGCTAGGATATGGAAGTGGATGCGCTCCACACGGATGGTAGTTTAAGATGCTCCTTATGGTGTCCGGTGCCACACGGTTACAGCTAGGATATGGAAGTGGATGCGCTCCACACGGATGGTAGTTTAAGATGCTCCTTATGGTGTCCGGTGCCACATGGTTGCAGCTAGGATATGGAAGTGGATGCGCTCCACATGGATGGTAGTTTAAGATGCTCCTTATGGTGTCCGGTGCCACACGGTTGCAGCTAGGATATGGAAGTGAATGCGCTCCACACAGATGGTAATTTAAGATTCTAGTAGGACTTGACATTTTAAACCCTCTACCTATTATCTATACATTTTCTAGACTCAGCAGACCTGCAGTCACATCCAGTAATTATAGAGTTTCCTGAATTTGGGAGAAAATAACCAACATCCTGCATTCCAGCTCCCACAGACCAAGAGCAGAAGTCTATCTTGGGGCAGTAAACTGCAAGAAGCGCACAATTTCCCAATTCTGTTCGAGTGGGGTTACGGAGAGATTCGGGATGGTGTGTGCCGCCATCACTCGGTAGAGAACCAGCGTGGATATACACCACACTTTAAATTGCATATACTATACATGTTTTAGTTCACTTATCTGAAGTCAGCCAGGAAACTTTTGGGCTAAAAATTTAATCAAAAAACTAAACAATGACCGAAAAAATAAATAAATAAATATATATATATATATTTTCAATAAACAACCTACACTAGGTAGGTTGTTTATTTACAAGGTTATCATTGAGTACCGAAAACGTCCCCCAAGTGCTGTGTACGACTCTTCCACCTGTATACTTTGGCAAGTGTCCAGCCCCCATTTGTTTGCTTTGAAGGCATATATAACTTTAACAACCTACACACAGATGGCCAAATATTTTCCTGAAGACGTGGAAACCTCTAAGGAGTTCCAAGCTATATGTAAAACTAGAATAACCAAGCCAAGTCTATGTATTGCACCAGTATGCTCCCAAAATAGGGGTCGCACTCACAGAACATGTGTGCAATGAAGTCATATAAAATCATAGTTAACAACTGCTGTGTGCATGAGCAGAACAAACACTTCATATACGGAAAATTGCTCTAGGTAGAATTTTTTGTGTGCCATTTGCAGCTTGTAAGATGCACAGTGATGCTACATTATCACATTGTGTGCTGATAAACTTCAATCTGGGATGGAATTGCGTGAGCAGCAAAAAAAACGAAACCCATTTTATTGATTAAACTTGCAATCTTTAGCCGTTTTCCTTGCATTGTGATACATATGTAACGGATCACCTGGCACCCCGACTGGGTACCTCCGTTGAAGGATGCTCCTAGCGCTTCCTGAGGACTCCAAGCACTGCAGCAGACACCACAACCACTGAACCAGAGAAGCATACGAATTCTCTCAAGCATATGAATGCTGTAAGCAGCTGAACAGGAAAAGCATACAATCAGCTTACAATCCAATTACCCCAATAACGAGACGACACTTCGTTTTGAGGTCAAGCAGAACTGACTGTACTGGCACATACAGCCTCTTTTATTCACAATCCACAAACATAGTACTGCCCACAGGGTTTTACAGAACAACCAATAACACACTTACATTACAAAAAACACTCCCAGCAATTATACACAAAATCCTCCCCTCTGCCTGTGATATAATTATGGTACACAATGGGTTAACATAATTATCACAGGCAGGAAAAATACAGTTTTCATACATGTACTATAACTTTAAAAATATACATCCAATCTTCATAAAAATTACGCGTTATTAATCAGCATACTTGAAATATAAACAGACTCAAAAATCAGGGCAATCGGTTCAGGGGTTAAAACGTTAAGGGAAAGTCCTATTTGACAAAATGAAGCATGGCTTTTCGGCCCAAAACCAGTTCCACAGAGTCTTCTATCCTGGAGATAATTGGGAAGTAATCCAATTATCTCCAAGGACAGAGGCAAAACTCCATTAGCCACATGGTAGCAATATACCATAAAATACATAAAAATCTATAACTGTGCAGCGATTGCATAAAACGGGTACATTCAACATATCCCCAGATAGCTTAGATCTGAGCGCACATTATGACTGAATGGCGCTCGGATCACATACATATAATTCAATTGCAATGGAGCCAAAGTCTTTCACATAGTCGTTCGTTATACGAATGGGCTCCATGGCATAGCTATCTGGGTTAACACTGCTCACATACGGGAAAGTACCGAATGACCTGGCTTTCGGGTCTTTGCAGGGGAAAATCCAGCATTTCAACATGGGGCCATAGTCACAGAGCAGGAGGCTGGCAATCAGTCTTCTCCAATGCCCAGTGGAGAGGCTGGTTCCGCCACAACGTACATATGACGTTTTATGGTAAGGTATGAAACAAATCATGATGCATCCAAACATTTATTTCTATCGTTTTCAAACGCACCAAATATTTTCACTGGTCACAAGCTTAGTAGAAATCCTAATCGCGCACCATAAGAATCATAAACAAACGGATATTTCATGTTTAGATAACAGCTTTCATTAATATGCATGCACACATCAAATGGAAAGGGTATCCTGGCAGGGTAAACTCAGCCCTTCATTCTCCTGACGTAAATAAAATGGGTACCATTAATTTCGGTAACAACATCTATTATTATTCAGCTGCCAATTCGGTTAATTCCAAGAGAAAAATTCCACTGAAAAGTTCTTGGAGTCTCACTAGAATCAAGTCAAAAAGGTTTGCTGGATCGGGATATATGATAATACACGTGAAAAAGGAGAAACTCTGGTGCTGACTTACCATTCACATTAGTCGACGGAAGGATTATTGACATTTTTGGTCTGGTGGTCTTGTTTCTATTTGTAGCCGGTAACAAAAGATGGTCCTGTGTCAAAATATAACATTTCATTAATAATAAAAAATAGTATAATATTTACATTGATGGAAAATAAAACAATTCTTATTGTCTAATTCATTTTTTTCTCTGGGTGGATACTGGCCATATTTATTGATTTGGACATGTGGGAATAAGTGTTATTTGAGTAACATACTATAAAGACCGAAGACAAAATCCAGAATGGAAAGTAAAACACAGCCTTTGTGAATGGTACTCACAACAGTGGGCCGGAGATTCCAAGGTGGAAATTAGGAGTAAAGGAGATATTGATATCTTATAATTAGCCAATAACAGTGCTCGGAGGACTTTTAAGACCTGAAAATCCAATATTAATCAAAAACGAAGAGCCAACAAGGCTGAAGAACAACTGCATTTTAGCTCAATGGCTGGAGATTTTTATAGGTGTTTGATTTAGGATGCATGACCGGGATGAAGTGATATAGTCTACAATGGTCCCATTTGTGGTAGAGGCAAAGACATGTATGTCCTGGTGATGCTCTAAAGAAACCGGACCATAAACATCATGTAATACAAAAGATACATAATGTTGAAGCATTTATTAAAACCATCTCGGGGTTCTGGAGACCCAGCTTGCAGTCTTTCAATCTTACGATGGAATAGAACCCTTCAATGGCATTAGTTTCCCATAATGCCTTGGTCGGTATAAGAATTTTAATGACATACACACATACGTCTCTTTGCCAGTCTTTAGCGTATCCTTCAGCACCAATTTCATTTGCTGACAAACATACTAAGACCATGAGAAATGTACCACACATTACATTTAAACTAGTAGAGAGAAAGTCTGGGTGGGGATTACAAAGGCTGAAGAGCAGATCTTTCAAGCAATTATTTAGTTAAATTCGTGTTTTCATTGGTTATGCTAACATTTTTTTTAATAGATTTTTGGATTGAGTTAGTGGAGTGTCCCTTTAACACTCTTCATTTTCACCATCAATAGAGTTGACCGAGGTTCAAACAGATTTCCAAAAATCTGGTGTCGTTTACACAGACCATACCCACGTGCAAAGCAGCAACATTATTTACATCACGGTTTGATTTTTTTACGGTTGAAAAGATAACATTTTGGCAAAATTTTATTTCTATTGCATTATGTTAGAAGTAGAAAATAGTATGAATTTGGGTCATAGGCAAATAGTGAGGTAAGAATGCATTAAACTATAAAAAACTGAATGGTTGGAAAGATGGCGAAGAGTATAACCTTGTGGCACGTTGGGCCATTCATTCTGGGACAGCAATCAAGGAGAGCCTGGAATGTATGAACTCCCAATATTTCAGTGCAAAAATGTGTTAAAGCAATCCAATAAATGCCATTTTATTTTCACACTGTGGTTAACAGATTAAAAAAATCATCTCATTTGATAAATCCCGTTCTTGTCCACAACCTCATTTTTGGCCATTATAAGGCCTATCCAAGCACCACCACCACCACCATCTCTACGGGGTATTGTAACAGCTCAGGTATTCAGAACTGGTCCAGGGAATAGCACCTTTAAGATATGCGCCTTTTATATTAAACCAAACACTGCCCAAACTCAAATGAGGAAATGCAGCTTCATCCAAATTCTTGTACGGCCTAGTCACATCACGGAAGGTCTCGTTTTAACCCCTTAAGGACGGAGCCAAATGTACACGTTGTGAACAAAACAAAATGTAAACAAAACCTGGCATTTGCGCTACATGTCTGTCCAACCGTAATTCACCTCTTTCATAGTAAATGCACCCACCCTTATTATATATCATTTTATTCAGGGGAAACAGGGCTTTCATTTAATATCAAATATTTAGCTATGAAACATAATTTAATATGAAAAAAATGGGAGAAAATACGAATTTTTTTTAAATTTTTTTAGTTCTACATGACATTTTAATGGTCAGTGTCATAATACTGTTTGCTTTTACTGCAATAAAATACACATATTTGTATTCAGCAAAGTCTCACGTGTAAAACAGTACCCCCTATGTACAGGTTTTATGGCGTTTTGGGAAGTTACAGGGTCAAATATAGCATGTTACATTTGAAATTGAAATTCGCCAGATTGGTTACGTTGCCTTTGAGACTGTATAGTAGCCCAGGAATGAAATTTACACCCATAATGGCATACCATTTGCAATAGTAGACAACCCAAGGTATTGCAAATGGGGTATGTCCAGTCTTTTTTAGTAGCCATTTGGTCACAAACACTGGCCAAAGTTAGCGTTAGTATTTGTTTGTGTGTGAAAAATGCAAAAAACGCCAATTTTGGCCAGTGTTTGTGACTAAGTGGCTACTAAAAAAGACTGGACATACCCTGTTTGCAATACCTTGGGTTGTCTACTATTGCAAATGGTATGCCATCATAGGGGTAATTTTCATTCTTGGGCTACCATAGGGTCTCAAAGGCAACGTAACCA